CCACCCCCTCCTCCCCCATTAAAGCCAAATAAATTAAAACAATAACAGGCAAACTCATGACTGTCAATATTTTCTGTGTAGTGAACTGTTAATATTTATTGTATGAGGTGTTTAAGATACAGGAACACGTTGATTTACAAAGCTGGAGAAGCACAAATGTAGATTACAAGACAAGTGAAATGCTGTGCTAAGCTGTCTCAAATATCTGTTCTTTTACCACTATTTCTTGTTAATGTAGTGGTGACACTCGTTAGTAACGTTTATATTTTCAGTCTCAGTTGTACACGACCAATACCACGATACTCTGACTCTGTTCTTGTTAACTAACCTTAGGGATACCTTAAATTAATGCATCTTAAATGTATTAACCGGTTCTGGAAGTGTATTTGCCCTGATGCAGATCCAACCAAATTGGCAGAGATATGGTGGGGAAACTGCCCCAAAACTGCCCCAAAAGTGCAGCTTATCTAAGGCTGGGTAATAGGAATGATCCTTTGTTGTGGGTCATGTCGATCAGATCAAGGAAATTCCCATTGCCAGGGGGAGAGAAGAGGCACCAGGGGCATGTAAGATGGTTTTTGAGGGTTATTCATGTAAACTATCTGCAGTTTTCTTTTAAACAATCTCATAAGCAACTTTTGCTAAAAATAGGCAAAAGAGTAGCAAAGCCAGTTCCCAAATTACACGTGAATGTACGAACTTTTTACAACTTCCTCTGAGTTCAGTAACCGCCTCAGCACGAAGGAAGCGCAGGACTAGGTCTGTCGATGCCACCAACCCTAAGCACAAATTCAGAAGAAAAGTAACTTTATTTGATGACACAGCAGTCATTTCCTTGTCGTTTTGGACATCAAAAGTGCCCATCGTGATGGCTTCTTTGAAACCCATGAAAAGCCAGCAATATGGCAAACGTTGGGTTTTAAGTTAATTAACGCCTCTGCCTTTCCATTTCTTTATCAGATGCAGTAGACAACCACAGATCGTTTAACGACAAGCATGGTCTCACCGGTAAACGAGACATACAGCCTGAGGAGGACATTAAAGCAGGTAACAAAAACCCCAAAAGCCAGTATTGCTCGCTTGTTTTCTTGCTGTTTAGTAATTAACTGTTACTGAGTTAACTAAGTAGACATAAGGCTATTCCCACACTTAAACAAAAATCCTCATAAACGTAAGAAAAGGAGATATGGCCATTCAGTGTGCTCTTTGTACTTGGTCGTACCTTAAAACACCTCGGTGCCTCGGGAAAAGAACCATCATAGTGGTGTGACAAGAGAAGAATAGCTTTATTCCAAGTAATATGTTCAAATAAGTGTTTCAAATGTCCCCCTAGATACTGGGGGGGTGGCGGTGTTTGGTGTGGGGTGTTTTTGTTGTGGTTTTTAAGAAAAAGGGTGAAGGGCATTCGCAGTCTAACAGTGCAGCTCACGTGGCAGCACGCTGCCGTGTATGGATTTGCCACCAGCTCCTTCAATATGATCTGTAAGAGTTGGGCAGCTCTTGCCAGGTTCTGCTGCACCTCCACGATTACAGTTGAGCCTGAGCAAACTTGTCTGGATGGGAGCCAAAAATGAGATCCCTCTCTTAACGAGCCTCATTCGAGATGCTCTTCTCTCTTCAAAAGTCTCTTTGAAGCTGGATTTTATTATGGAGTTCCTACCCAAAGGAGACTTGAATATAAAAACCAGATAAAGTAGTCAGTATTCTTATTTTAACACCAAAAATGCCTTCATTTTCAATTAAATTCTGCTGATCACTTCATGTTTCTTTATTAGAGTCCGCAGGTAATTGGCTAGACAGAATGAAGGCCGATAGCAGAGTGTATGGAAACACACAGGTACAACATGCTCGAGCCACTAAAGAAAAACACTTCTCCAAAAAAATAGCACGTTGGTAATAAAATGTGGGTCAATACATTACTAAGACATTAATGGTTAATCATAACAAAAATCTGTAGCAGGTTAGCTGGGAATAACAATTATAGTAAGGAAAACTTCAAATAATACAGGTATTACTAATGTAACAACGTTTTTGTGCCAGTTCAGAGACTTTTAGAAGCAAATTCTTCTAATTCATTCTTAAACACCGACTCTGTATACCAGAAACCTCTGTCCCTTCCAACTCTCCATCAGCCTTTTATCAGAGTCCGACCTGAATGTCGCCCGGGGCCCAAATCGTCGCCTCCATCATGGGGAAACTCCCGGGGCACTGACCTGCTGCGAGGTCTTTCGGGCTGTTTTCGGGGGTTGAACACGTTCCCTGCAACAACACCAAGGGACAGTGTTCTAGTGACGTAACAAGGGCCTGTGGGTCAGATGCTGGTACCCAGCTGCTCTGTGTGCGGAGAACTGGAAGTCTTTGGGAAGTTAATTTGGTCTCTGACACAGAACAACTCTCTATCCTGTTGGTAAAAAGCAGGATGTCTCCTTTTTTTTCTTTTCCTCTTTTTTTTCTTTACTTTCCAACCTCCCAAAGTGCAATAACCAGCTCCCCAGGGGCTGGCTAAATTGAGCCCTTTAAAAAGCATGGAAATGCTGACTCCGGAGGATGGAAGAGGAGTAAATGGTGTGAGATCCATAACCCAAACCAGACCTGTCTGAGTTTTCAATGGACTCCCAGGCCTGGCGTTTGGGCTACCAATCACTTCCACGTCACTGGAGCGGTTTATAGGGAACGAAGTCAGCCCACGTGAGGAACTCCCCTTCTGCAAAGCGGATGGCTTTGCTGAGTTTACCCTTCCCCTCCATCCCGGGCTACGGGACACGCAGGAGAGCTGAGAACAGGGGATAACGCGCTTCTGCAGCAGAGCTCGTTGGGCCTCGGAGGCCACGGCCTTTAAGGTGTCAAAGCAGCGGTTAAATGCAAAGCTGGGAAATTCTGACTGGGAATTGCCATCACCTACCTTAAAGTGGTTTTGCTCTTCCATGAAATGAGGTTTCTCCATTCAGGATTTTAAGGAAAAAGATTTTGGGATAGCTTCTTTTCAGAGCACTCCTAAGCCTCATAGCCACGATCTCACACACAACAGATCTTCGTACCGTGACGGCATTAAGTAACAACCGATTTCTTTTCTAGGGAATCTGGGAGAGCCACTGGCTGATGAAAACATTGTGCGCACAGTAATTGAGTTTTTGACTTACTTGCGTCTCAAAGGTTAGTGAATGCCCTTTTCATATTTCACACTTTTCCAGCGCCTCGGGGGGCTGCAAGGAAGCTGGGAGGGGCTTTTTCCAAGGGCAGGGAGTGACAGGACAAGGGGGGATGGGTTTAAATGGAAAGAGGGAGATGGAGATGGGACATCAGGAAGGCATTCTTCCCGCAGAGGGTGGGGAGCACTGGGACAGGTTCCCAGAGAAGCTGTGGATGCCCCATCCCTGGGAGTGTCCAAGGCCAGGCTGGATGAGGCTTGGAGCACCCTGGGCTATGGAAGGTGTCCCTGCCCATGGCAGGGAGGTTGGAACTGGATGGTCTTTAAGGTCCCTTCCACCCCAAACCATTCCATGAATACAGCCTACAGTGTGAATTTACTGGGGAGACAGGACTGTGGTGGCATGTACGAGTCTGCAAGACTTTGAACAGCATCTCTGGTGCAGGGGGGAGCCCCCAACTCTGCTGGAGTGCATTTAGGAATGGGCCTGATGTGGAGAGTGCAGGTAATAATCCTGCCCAACGCAGGTCGACGAACAGCCAGCATGGCAGGGTTCTAATAGGGTTTGATTACTGTAGGCACTGTGAAAATAACAACAGCTACTCCTAAAACTGTAGGGAGCCAGCTTTTAGAGCTGAAAAAAAACTAAATACAGCCTGGTTACACGAGAGTTAGTACAAGGTAATTCCATAACAAATTACATAAGACCTCAGTGTAATGCCAAGGCGAGCTGGTTGACATTCTGAAGAACCTGTTGATGACCAAAGAAATACCTCTCCTTCCCTGCAGGTGTTCTACACTACAGTCACATCCCAAAACCGCAGCGCTAAGCTGCGTGTTGGCAAACGGCTCCAAATGCTGCTAGGAAACACTCTGTGCAGCCTCAAAACCGGGACAGGAATTGTAACAGTGAGCTCGCAGCTGATTCTCTAAGAATGGTAACTTTACCACTGCATTCGGTGAAGAATCTGGCTGCTCCTGCGTCTTCATTAGATTGGCTTTAAAAAAAAAAAACAAACCAAAACACCAAACACAATTCTTGAGCTTTTAAAAACCTCTCTTGAGCTTTTAAAAACCTCCTTGGTCCTAAAACCGTCCACACAACGTTAAAAACCGTAATACACGTGTTCAAAGAAAACAAGAGGGAGAAAGAAGTTACTTTTACTGCAGATGTTTGAGGAATTCTGTGTCTCAAAGCGGACAACTCAATAAATCCACAGCTTTAGTCTTTTTATGGATTTATTCAATAAATCTACAGATTTATTCTTCTATATTCTTGCCTTTGTATACAACAAATTCTAAGCAGTTTTGTGTATGCTGTGGAACAGTAATGAAGAACTTTGTATTACATTTGTATTTTCAGTTCTTATTAAAAGATACTTTCACAAAATCTGTTCCTTTCCTGCACATTTAGGAAACAAAATTCTAGACCTTTTTTTGGCATAATTTTCTAAATTATTTGCATCCACCCAAATGAAAAAACCCTCACTACTGAAAATTTCAACCCTGTGATAACTGAATCAACTTTGCATTTGAAACGACGACTCTTCATGGTTAGTACTAAGGGCCTGAGATAATGCAAATCTATATTTAAAGCAGATTATTAACATGCATGTTTGCTGCGGACAAAGTAGTCGCTTATTTGTCGTGGCACTGTGAAGAAGAAGGAGCTCTAAACACCCCTTTACACTGCCAGATCATGTAAAATGTGTTTTCCCTCAGGTGCTTCTTGTATTCCCGGGTTTCAAAAGACACAGAATGTCATCGTGTTAGGCTTTAACAGCACTTAGTGGCAAGACCTAGTGCAAGCTCTTACACAAATTCAGAAATGCAGATTTAGAAGGTGAAAACTGTATTTGATTATGGTAGAGACATTTTTTTTAACACTTTTGCTCAAATTAAACTTCATTATATTTATTGGTTTAGATATGTTCTGCTGGGGGGAGGAGGGGAAAGCTCCCACTTAGGGGATTCAGATGCAGGGGGTGGTTTCTCAGGTTAGATATACATTTTGATCTGCAAGATAAAGTGAATACTTTAACTGCTAGGAAGTACCTTGGAGTAACTAGAAGTGGTATTGAGCTCTTTCTCTTGAAAACACCTCCCTGCAGCTCTAGAGGCTTCCCACACGGAGCCAGCTGTAGGAAGGCAGCCATACCTGGGTAATACCGAAAGCCTGAGATGCTGGGATTCAGCAGTATCCATCGACATAATACAATTGGTATAACTGCACTCTCATTCTGCCACTGCTGTTTTGAATATCACCCTGCTATAATTTCACCTTTTTACTAACATTCAAATGAAAAAACCAATAGTTTATACACTGAAATATGAAAGTTCAAGGATTTGCCTCAGAGTTAAGAGAAAAATATAAAAAAATATATGCTACTGAAATTGGATTTAATTATTTGCTAAGAGTAATGATTAACATGCACACTTACCCATGTGTTAATTCTCTTTTTGTCCCTTCTGCAGAGGTGGGAGCACTTGACAAACTACCTTCACCAGAGGAAATAAACCAGTCTTGAAGAAGAGCGCGTTTTGATTTTGTGGTAGCGGAGGTGCAGCTTGAATTCCAACCAAAAGATCCGAACGAGCTGGAGATGGGAAGGATTGTTTGCAGTAATCTGACCAACGGTAATCAGCATTCTGCCCTGGAATTGTTTGTTTGTTTGTTTGGGGTTTTTTGTTTGCCTTTTTTATTTCTTCTCCTGTGATGTTATAATGTAAAGTTTTGCCTTGGTAACGGTTTTCTGTAGGTAAATGATAAAATAAAAATAAAGAGCAACTACGTTGTTTCATTTTAAAATTAAAGGGGTGCTGGCACGCAATCCATCACCTACACACCCAGGCTGAATTGTAAGGTTACACTGCATCTACCCTCTGCAAAGTGAAACATAAACATGGCTCGCTGGGTACTTTCCCCGAGAAAGAAGGGAACAGTGACTTCAAATCGCTGCCATACGGAGTCTTTTCAGGGCCCAGACCTGCCTGTACGTCGATGCTTCACGGAAGCCTCAGTTGGTGTTTTCACAGGCACAAAATAAACTCACCTTCATCTTCAATCCCATGTCGTTTCCGGTAACACACCAGCCCGTTGGCCCAAGCGTGGCCTGGTGGCCCAAGCGTGGCTTCGTCACTGTTCTGTGCCGGTGGTAGGTTTACACACATCCTGTGTCTCAGGAACACTGGATTTGTAATCTTTCGTGAAGAAACTCTCCCATCCACTACCAGATTAAAGAAATATTTTATGAGCTGCTTTAGCCCGAGCCCAGCAAAGCACTTGGATCCATACCTCATCCCTACGAAAGCGCTTTGATGCTGCAGGGCCAGAAGGCGAAGCCCAAACACAATAAATGTCGTCTCAAGGATGAGGAAAGGTCGGAGAAGATACAGACTCGGAGCGGTTCCTAGCACTCAGGTGACACGCATTGTCTGCATGGCACAATGAAACACCGTCCTTTCCCAACGCTGCTGGGCCGGGTGCACGGACTGTTGGACGTTTTGCGGAACATCATTAAATTATGTGCTGGTTGGGTTGCGATAAAGTTAATTTTCCTTACAGTAGGTAGTATGAGGCCGTTTTGGGTTTGTGCTGACAAGAACGTTGATAACACACTGATGTGTTTAGTGGTTGCCAAGCAATGTTTAGATCAAGTCAAGGACTTTTTCAGTTTTCGATACTGCCCCCGTGTTCCCAGCTTCCTTCTCTACAAGAAGCAGGGAGGGGGCACAGCCCAGACAGCTGATCCAAACCAGCCAGAGGGATATTTTATCCCATCAAACGTCATGCTTCATATATAAGTTGGAGGTGGGCGGGGAGGTCTCTCTCTCTCTCTGGTTCAAATTGGCCATTGGTGTCTAATTTGACCCCACAAGTTTCTCTCCTCAATCAGCTTGTGCTTGTCTTCTAATAATCACTCAGCCTCTAATCTAATGGCTGATGTTCACTTCCCAAAGTGTGCAACGGCCCCGTTAATCATCTCCACCAAGCTGTTCAGCAAGCCCTTTGGCCAACGCTTTACTCTTGTGTCAGTAATAAGAAAATATCCGCTGCTAGTTCAACATTCCTCGATAGTTATGGGCTTCCAATACCGTGTAAAAAGAACAGAGGGGAAATTTACCTCCTGTACGTCAGTATAGTTCAGTAATTCCACTCCCATTTTCACTAGTAATGTCCACGTTTCCCATCATACCCTTGAAGCAGAGCTCACTAAAATCTGGAGGCATTCTTTCAATTGAATTCCACGGACTTTGGTTCATTGACTGCTACGTCCCCGTTTGCAGAAAATAAAAAGCCACCTTTCTGTTCCAAAGCAGCTGAATCTACGATCCAATGACAGCAACAATCTTAGCACTGAACCACTTTTCTATTGAAATAGGATAGAAATTGGGTATAAAATCAGAATTAAGTTTAAGTTATTTAAGTTTTTACTTAAAGCAAATTAGCATGCTGGCAGGTCGTTAAAGTTGGAATGGTCTTGTTAGAGTGGTTATTTGAAATTCTGAAATTTGAGATGATCGGAAGTATGGAAAAATTCACAGGATCAAGTTCCATGGAAGATTTACATCACTGCCTAAGCGAGGAGGCACACAAGTTCTTACCCACTGTGCTGCACTGCTATATGCACATATTATAGACACCACAGAAGTTCATTATAATCTCATACCAAAAACAGTCCACATATGTTCACTTAACAATTACGCCAGTCACACACATACTGGTAATATTCCAAAATACAGAGTGTTAAGATTTTCAGACTCTTTCTTCACCCTCTACAGCTCTTATCTTCGCAAAAACAAAGGGGCAAAACACAATATAGTCATAGAATGGTTTGGGGTGGAAGGGCCCTTAAAGACCATCCAGTTCCACCCCCCCTGCCATGGGCAGGGACACCGTCCACCAGACCAGGTTGCTCCAAGCCTCATCCAGCCTGGCCTTGGACACTCCCAGGGATGGGGCATCCACAGCTTCTCTGGGCAACCTGTCCCAGTGCCTCCCCACCCTCTCTGTGAAGAATTCCTTCCTGATACCTAATCTAAATCTCCCCACTTCCAGTTTAAACCCATTCCCCCTTGTCCTGTCACTACAGGCCCTTGTAAAAAGTCCCTCCCAGCTTCCTTGTAGCCCCTTCAGGTACTGGAAGGTGCTATAAGGTCTCCCCAGAGCCTCCTTTTCTCCAGGCTGAACAAGTCCAATTCTCTCAGCCTTTCATTGTAGCAAAGGTGCTCCAGCCCCAGTAAAGGGGCATTCTTCGGGACCCATTTCAGTAAAGCTATTTTTTTATTAACTTTCTTATTAAAAGCGTGCATTACTTTGCTACATCTCAGACCTAAATCCTGAAAATGCCTGGAATGACATCACCATAACCAGCCTCTCGGACAAACACCTGATAAAAGGTGGGCGTTAAAGCACCGTTTGAAAACAATCACTTTCAACAGGGCAAGGAGACAATAAAAAGATGTGACAAGGTTCAACAAAAAATGAAAAAACAATCCTTAACCATACCCCCTTTCTTTGCTCTTTTGCTTACATTGTGTCCCACTTCCGTGAAGGATTAGATCCAACACTTTGACAGCAACACGCGGTGACCCAGGGGGCGAATTTGGCTTGGGCGGTGAGCAGGTCCGATGCTGAAAGGCTGGAGAGTAAAATGGCAGATGAAATTAAATACTGATGCAAGCAAAGTAATACACACAGAGGATAAACAACTCTAATTTTGCTTACACATAATGATGGTCTAAATTATCTCCAGAAAAATAGTTTAGACTCATTGTACACGGTGCTCTAAAAAACGGCATTTTCAAAGCTCAGGAGCAGTTAGAAAGGCAAATGGAATGTTAGGAATTATAATGAGATTAGTCAAAACCAGACCAGAAAACATCATTATGCCACCGCTTTGACACCAGCTGTAGTTCTGGTCAGCTCACTGCATCAAAAAGCCCTCTGTAGCTTTTCTGGTTCTGCAGAAGAGTGATGAGTATTTCAGCAAGACGGAACGACTTTTATACACAGCACAGTCTGTGACTTCAGCTGGAGAGAGTCCAGTAAGGAGATAGATGAGAGAGTCTGAAATGTGGTGGTAAAAGCGCATTAGGAGAGCGCATAGGTGAGTTAATTAGGAAATTCACTTCTTGTAACTCAGGATTTAATGACTGCCTGATAAAATGATTAATTAACATTTTTAAACCCCAACCCCAGAAAAAGAAGTCCTCTTCCATACCTCTCGTGATGAAATTGTGCCACTGGCAGGCACAGGACATTGTGGAGTTCATCAGTTCTGGAAGGAAACTCTTATTTTCACAGAAAAAAAGTCCTTCGAGGTCCAAATGAAACCGTTACCTCAGCAAGTCTAATTAACTTGTTTCTTTGAACACGTTATGGGTGTGTGCACAGTGCTGTAAACCAACCCTTAGAACCCTATCCCCAGTTCAGGGATTCAACAAACCTGCACAGCATCTGGTGCCAGCGTACAAAAGGAATTTGGAAATTATGTGTTTCTGGCTAAAAATCCTGCAGAAATGAATACTACCTATAACCGAAAAGTTATAATTTTACACAGTGCTTCACCTGCCAGGTAGTCTCACCAGAGCTCATTGAAATGCAGATCAGAGTACACCAGGGAATTTCTGGAGGCACGGCTGGCGTAAAACACTCTGTTGAGGTTAGGCATCAGGCAGCTGACGGGGTACGTGTTATTCTCCCATCTGTCTACTCATGTGAAGGTCAGACTGCAAAATTAGCATAGAAAAATTAGCTAGGACTCAGAACACTGAAGATGTTGGCGGGGGCTTGATACTGGGGTTGACATAACTCTGCTTTCAAGTTTAATGGTACAATAAACCCAAACTTGAGCCCTTTTTCCTGACTAGAGCACCAACTTCCTACGAGAAGCAGAGATTCTGAGAGTTTCTCACCTGTTTTCTTGCCTTCCAAACCTTCCAAGGCCTTCCAAACAGGAGATATCCTACCAGATACGTGGAGGAACATATTACCAACTCACAGAACACCAATTAAAGCATTTTTCTGTTATTTCAAAATAAGCGATACGAAAACCCACCAAGCGAGAAATGGACACCAGAAAACACTGTCATTTGTCCAGGATATAAATTACCTCAGGAGATTCAGGATTAAAAGGTAGTTTACACCTGAGTGTTATTAGCAGAATAAATGATTTTTCACCAGTTAACACAGTACATAAAAAAGGCGCAGTGCTTCTGCCCCAATTTTGAATTCTATAGTTTGTTTTTAAAGAAATGCAAATAATAATTCTGATACTTAATTCAACAAAATCAGAGTTGAGCTGCAGATGAGAACTAGTTTATCTCCTTGCCTGTAAAGCTCTACGTTATTTCCAAATACCTGACCGAATTCCCTTGAGATTCAACTCGTGTGTGTGTTCCATCATCTGTGATTTTTCTAATGAAATCTATATGTTCTCCATAGATTTTCCACTGATTAAGTACATATAAACAGTACAGCCTCTCCGAGGCATGAATCTCATATGGAATGTCTGCCTGAGGGGGG